TCTCGTTCTTCTAAATAATCACAACCTTTTCTATCATGTAACTCTGAATTTGACATCTAAATTAGAAAAATATATATCAGCAAATGATTCACTTCTAATTATTATTCAGCAATAGATAATGTAATTTAATGGTAACCATATACAATACATCGAACGAAAATTATATCAGCGTAATAAATAAGGAAATTTACTAAGAGATAAGTATATTAGTTAGGTAAATGTAAATTTATGTGAAATAGAATTCAATTATCAAATTAAAAAACTTTGGAATTTACCTTTTGCAAGTCCTTTCCGGAATGCTGAGTTTTCACGTTAAGATTCATTTGTTTTCTTGCTGGTCTTGGCGTAAATAAAATGCTTTCTATAGGATTGCGCATAAGCATTTCTTTGTTCCCACACCTCTTATCTAAGCAAACATTTGCTTGTAATCTAGGTTTGTTTTGACAACGGCTAAAACCGGTTGCCTCAAAGCTCGAAGACAAATTTGGGGGGGGTGTGGAGCAGACTAGAGGAACAATAGGAATAGGCTGATGGAACGTCATCAGAGGCGATGGTGATTTAAATATGGAATTATCATGTTTGTAAAGTGTCATAAGTTGGTTATTCGATGGGACCACTCTACGAGGAAGAATGCAAGATGTGGTAGCCTGTTGGGTTCTTTTGGTTGAAGTACTGATTGGAGATCCAGAGCTAATAACGTTGCAAGATCCAAGAAAGGGAGATGATAGCTGCACCAATAGAATTTAAGGTAAAAGTCAAATGATTAAATAATGGTCATAAAGATATAAAGTTAGTATAACATGTTTCTCTTTTTATAATAGAGTTAAAACTAAATGTCTTAAAAAGAGGTCTTGATTTTTAATTAGGGCCCTTTTTAATTAAAAGAAATTTTAATTGATGAGAAGTATCGAATTCTGCAAGGCATTTCATAATCTAAAATAATTATTTAATTAATAACATACTCTAGAATATAACCATAGTCTCAGATTAAACGTAAATAAACAAAATGGCAAGACACTAAATAATTTTACAATGTATATTTATTAAAATATTATTCATCATCACCTTAAACGAAATAGGGTGAAAATAACTCCTTAATACTTAAGTTCTAAAGTCCTCTGGAGATTGAATAGTAACGATAATGGATAAGCCAAAATAATAAGATCAATAATCGTTTTATAATTTTTAATAGGTCAGAGGACAACCCTTACAGGAAAGTAATCATGGGTTGTTTTGATGGATCAAAAACCCGAAAGATAGCCTACTCACGATGAAAAGAAATTAAGACTTATTTTCCTGATTTCATCATCATCTCCTTAAGCTTCAGATCCTTTACTTTAACTCGACATACCAGGATAATTTATTAAAAATTATACCGGCACTTTTAAATGATGCTGACTACGATAGAGTAGCAGAAACTGTTTATTCTTTGAAGCTGGATGCGAAAAATATGTATTAATATTAAAGATTTATTTATCCTATTTCGTTTATGGCGATAAGGGGACAGGTAGCTGCATTTTTCCACAATCATGACTAGACATGATGTTTATATTAAATTTCACTTGGCCTTGCTTTCGCAAAAGGTATTCTTTACCAGCGGAGACTGCAGGCTCGGCCTCACCTAGGTCTTATAAACAACCCCAGTGGAACTCGAACCATGACAATGCAGCTTATAATCTCGTAACGTTAGACCCTACGCCAAGTTGCCACGTGTTCTCTTGGCTCATAGGAAAAATGTAACTTTCATGAAAGGCCAATCATTTTCCTACATCATATTCTATGTTTGAATTGTCGAGGAGGCAAATTTTGTATTTTCTATAGCAATCGGTAACGTTATTTATTTCTCGTTTATGAGTAGGCCTTCAAGACTTCCAGTAGATCATATATATGAGAATCATCCATCATATTTTATTTAGCCTCTACATCACCCTTAACGAAATAAGATGAATACATCTTATAAATATGACCTGCTGGTAGTCTTGAAAGCCTACTTATAAGCGAATAATACGTAAAGTAGTCAATTGCTATAGCTAATATAACTTTGGTTCATCAAAAATCTCACAACTTTCTGGACACAAAACAGTCTGCAAGGGTCTGGATGTCCAAAATAGCAATTGAACGAATACATGGCTAACACAGGACACTAGATATACTGGTGGATATGAGGATATTCCGGTTAGAGGAAGAATAAGGAAGCGATAGAAATCAACAAAAAAGCCAGCACCCTGAATTTAAGGAATGAGTTTAGGAAGTTAAGTATAAACTGCTTGGAGCTATTAGATAGTATTTGGAAGTGGAGAACGTGAAGTACCACCGAGCAAGACTTTCACACTTCGAATATTTTAAGACCATATTCTTTAGTGGGATTCTCGATGAAGCAAACGTATATTTGCCATAACAATCGACTACGTTACTTTTTTTTCCAATTTAAGTAGTGTCAAGCTCCCATTCTGCACTGTCACGGTTCGACTCCCGCTGGGGGTGTCGATAAGACTGATGCGAGGTCGAAACTGCAGTCCACTGGTGCCTGGATGAGAACAACTTTTAGGAAAGCAAGGCAATGTGAAATTAAATGGAAATGCCAGCTCTACTCATATCATTGCAGGAAAATTCTTCTTCCAGTCCTTCATTACCTTAAGCGAAACAAAGTGAATACATCTCATATTACAGATTTACTGGTAGTCTCGAAACTCTACTCACATACGAAGAATTATCGTATAGCATGGTGTCCTGCTCTAGCAATGTCAATCAAATGACGAACAAGGATTCATCAGGGTTGAGTCACGGTAAGCCTATTACTTATTCGCACGCATCTACAATAATAGCTCAAAGCAGCCTCCTTTAACCTTCCGGTGATACCAACTTAAGAATCCCTTACACTTGCCTCTTCAATTGTAATGAAAGATACTCCAACATCAATCTGTTAAGGGATTCTTCAAAACCCAGTTATTCTACATAGGAAATTTTTAAAATAGCCGATTACACTCCATTTCAGGAAAGTAAGTATGAGTAGACTTATGCCAGGAGTTCATCTTTATTGGCTAAGAATGGTAAAGGTGATAGCATCAAGATAGACAACTACCCGAACCACTGTTTTTGATACCTCCACAAGATTACTCTTTATATAGCAACCAATATTGCGGTTTACTAAGTATTGGAGATGCATGTTGCTCTAGTTACTTAGCCGGAGCTGGATATAACCATGCTCATAGAATTTGAGGGGCTAACTATTTTAGAATTGCCGATCACATTAGGAAACATGGCATGGGATTAAATGGCCCCAAATTTATCTATTTGAAGGTTAATGTAAATCTTCAAATAAACGCTGGAAGAAGAGTCCATTAAAGTCACAAGTTTATATGCTATGCTGCAATTGAGTCAAGAGATAAGAATATAGAGGAGAAAATACTTTATTCTACTGGTAAACTAAAGGAAAGAGAGGAAATATAGAAGCCTAGAAAGATATGTAAATTCGATTTAAAAAATCTCATTTTGGTTCTGCTCTAGTATATGTATATTCGAAGGTACAGATTAAATAAAATAGACTAGTAAAATAATTTGGGAGCTTTTATTTCAAATTCTTCTCCTAAACGAAGTGAAAAATGTTAAATCTGATGTGATTTGAAGGGTATAATTATATATTTTGCATACAATGTATAATTTATATCTAATAGCAAACAAAGGATTACATTTTTCCCTTGATTGTAGGACAGTGCATCGAGTGCTGCGAGATTGCAAACCAACCCCAGATCAAGAAAAACACGGAGTAGTTTCATGGCTGAATCTGGCAAAACATTTTCTTAAATTTATCAAGAGAATGGTTATCTTCACCTGGTAAAAAGAACTTTAATAATCTTAGTAAAGCATGCTTTGTGCATTTTTTCTGAACAGAGGTAGAATATCTTGTGTAAGACGGCAATTATAAAGCCAAAGTAGAATCAAACTAGTATGTATCAGCAGAAATCCGCCGCCATTTGTTAGTAAAATTTACTTACGAATCTCTTCGACAAAATTAAAACGGTGACATTAAATGAAATGAAACTAAGCAAAACCATATTAACACGCTCGACCATTGAAGTATTTCGTTCCTATGTTTCTTCTCACATACTCGAACGTATGAAGGCCAAGCTATTGTATCCCTATTATGATCGCAGTCTTCTTGCTTCTTTTTCGCAACTTGGTGGCATTATTAGAGGGACTTACTTGAATGCACCCTGTTCAGAATCATCTGCCATAGCAGCTGTGATAATTTCTAGTGTTGGTCTGTGGACTTGATACATTGCAAGCCGTTTCGCTAATTGACCATGCCGGCGAAGCATTTGAAGACGTATCACTTCCACTTTCCAATACTAGAGGTTATTCTGTCTACTATGGCAGACTATTCAGGACATGATCCATTCTGATAATGCGACCATGGGTTAAAAAGTAGGTTCAAAACACTTCTTGGCCTAGTTTCATGCGGTCAAAGGGTGGAAGCAATTAGAACACCCTTTAAACTAGTAAATTTCTTGAAAAATGTTAATAATTTTATTTCAACTTTTAGTAGCTCTGCAAATTCAAAGGTTTTGTGAAGAGCTAATAGAATATGCAAACTTACCAGGGCATCACTAGAACACGCTGGCATCAAACAAAATGGAAGACGATCGGTAGACATCCTTGTTTGTTGAGAGCATCGAGGAAATCCAAGCTGTCTGACTACTCTTTGGGAAATCGGTGGCCCAACTATCAACTTATCTACACACTTAGCTCTTCCCTGCGGACTTATTTCAGTAGTAATGTCTAATGTGCGCCCTGCACACAATCGGTTTCTTTCATAATCATATGTTGCATCTAAGTTGATTTTTTTACCAGAGATTGATTGCCGAAAATAATGAACGTTCCGACCATTCGAACAGGGAGGTGATTTTTCTATCATTTGAACTGGAGATTCTACTTTGGGTACCGCATCGTTTGCAAAAAATACGCCTTCTTCATTTTGTCGATTTCTATGTATTGGCGCGTGAACGTAGCCAAAGAGGTTAGAATAATAATTTTGCTGATTTTCATCTCTAGCTTCAAGTTTAGGAATATTGGTTTCATTATAATATGCTCGATCAGGTAGAGGGCAACGCAGCCTTGATGGGGATTCTGACAACTGACCTAAACATAAGGGATTGGCAAGAAACAATGAGCTTCCTGAATCTCGACTTGAATTTTTAAGTTCAGAAGAGAGAGGATGGCTTGCATTCATCTCAGAGCATGGTGAAGTAACAGCCGAAGCAATTGACGAACTGAGAGGACCGCTATCGGTTGGTGTGGATGTAGAGTCAGAGTATGAATCCGATCTTTGCGCAACGTAGTTTGACAAAATTAAGGAGTGGGAACCATGGGTCAGAGAATTATCTTTCTTAGATTGTGACATTATAAAACCCCTAGTATCACGAGTCTCTTTTCCTAAGCCTAACCCCAAATTGCATACCTTCTCTTCATAGGAAAGCTTATTTGAATTAGATTGTCGTTGGAGTTGTAGGAAATTGGAACTTTTGATAGATTTAGGGCCAGAAAGTGTGGGCACCTTTCTTTGGCACAAACTGAATTCGGACGAATTTAAAATAGGTTCTAAGGAACCGGATGACTTATATGCTTCATGTTCCACTTCTCTATGAAGGAGTTTCACAATATGTCTACTTGCCGGGCGAGAACATTTATCGTGCTTAGGTTCTTTATTCGACTCTGCCCTTTCCATGCAACCGATTTGCTCCTCAGGCATGATTTCATTTCCTGTTGGCAACATACTTGATTCAATTGGATTGAAATCTTCCATGCGGAATAGATGACTCACTTCATCCACTATCAAATCTGAATCACGTTCATCACCATACTCTCCTTCTTTCGAGTCTTGCGTTCCCTCTCTGTCTTGTTTATTATCTCGTTCAGCTCCGCTGCAATTTGTAACAGTTGTATCATTTGTCTTATTCATTCGGAAGCTATGTTTTCCTAGGAATAAGCAGGGATTTATGGAATTTTTGCAAACGCTTTTAATTTGAAACACAGTCGGTCTAACTTTAGGCTGGTGGCCCTCAATTTCATTTCTACTATCTACTGATTGTAGATCGCTTACTCCCGAGCCACTAATGTCAGTAAGTGAGAAGGTAGATGCCATTTGGCCACTGCCGGAGCAAAATGTATCCACTGGACTTTGCATGGTCATAGGATTCACTGTATTTTGTGGAGGATGATTCATCCGACTCAAAGAATTGAGTTCA